TGCATCCGCTGTTCCCGCTGTGGCCTCCTCTACATCAGGGAAACCAAGCGGAGGCTTGGGGACCGTTTTGCAGAATACCTCCGCTCGGTTTGCACTAAACAACTGCACCTCCCGGTCGCGAACCATTTCAACTCCCCCTCCCATTCCTCAGACGACATGTCCATCCTGGGCCTCCTGCAGTGCCACAACGATGCCACCCGAAGGTTGCAGGAACAGCAACTCATATTCCGCTTGGGAACCCTGCAGCCCAATGGTATCAATGTGGATTTCACAAGCTTCAAAATCTCCCCTCCCCCTACTGCATCCCAAAACCAGCCCAGCTCGTCCCCGCCTCCCTAACCTGTCCTTCCTCCCACCTATCCCCTCCTCCCACCTCAAGCCCCACCCCCATCTCCTACCTACTAACCTCATCCTGCCCCCTTGACCTGTCCGTCCTCCCTGGACTGACCTATCTCCTCCCTACCTCCCCACCTACACTCACCTTTACTGGCTCCATCCCCGCCTCTTTGACCTGTCTGTCTCCTCTCCACCTATCTTCTCCTCTATCCATCTTCTATCTGCCTCCCCCTCTCTCCCTATTTATTTCAGAACCCCCTTCCCCTCCCCCATTTCTGAAGAAGGGTCTAGGCCCAAAACGTCAGCCTTCCTGCTCCTATGATGCTGCTTGGCCTGCTGTGTTCATCCAGCTCTACACCGTGTTATATTACATATCTACAACTCTGTTCACTCTGACTTTTACCAATTTTCATACACTTGCACTATTATGTGCTCATTATCAAGGACATAACCAAAAAGAAAACCTTTTATCCCAGGCTATGTGTTAAAATGTCCAACAAGTATACATACACACACACACACACACATTCAAGCAATTTCCAGAGCAGGTAAAGGAAAGATTTCACTTACCAGTTTCAGTTGGTCTGAATCTAAGACCTGCTGTGTGTGAAGTTGATAACCCTACCTAGAAACCAGTGGTAAAAATGCTAGCAATGACACCATAAATTAGTCATTGTTAACATTCACTTAGAACATGCTCTACCTGTAAACCAGAGGGCAAATAATCCCCAGTTGTGTAATAAGGCATGGGATTCTGTTTTTAAAATTATCTTACTCAGGGATGGAAGAAAGAGAAAATTCTTTACATTTTTGTTTGTGAAACATGGTTCAGAGTTCCAACATATAAATAATGTTTTCTATTATTTAAGTATATATCAAGCTACCTGAAATTGGGGTCCACTATTTTCACCGTGAAAACGTAAACTCCAGTATGATCAGTTGGCCACGTCAGGTACATCGAGCCTGTTGAGTTCAGGATTTCGTATGGTCTATCCATGTTTTTAACCGATCCATGAGATTCAAAGCAAGACCTGTAATTCTTAACTCAACATATATTGGCATAAACCTCAATTATCTTATTGTTATACAAATAAACTCCTATATCAGATGATGTCATTTCAGCTCATTACAAGCCGCAATAATTTCACCATACGTTTCAGCAAAGTAACTTTTTTTTTAAAAAAGTAAACAAAAACAGAAATTGCTGGAGAAACTCAACAGTTCTGGCAGCAGGATTTCTGAAGAAGGGACAGGTTCTGAAACATTACCTCTGCTTGCTGTCCACAGATGCTGCCGGATCTGCTCAATTTCTCCAACAATTTCTGTTTTTGTTTCAGATTTCTAGCATCCGCAGTCCTTTGTCTTATTGTTTAAAATAAAGTAATTGGTCACGCTGTGTGGGCATCACTGGCTATGCCAGCATTAACTACCCATCTCAACTGCCCTTGAACTTGTATCTATATAGTATGTTTACAGTCGATAAACATTCCAAAAGTGTAAACAAATAAAATGGACTTTGAGCCAAAAATTGAGATATTGGAAGTGGCGACTAAATTCTTGGTGCAAGAAGCACCTTTTAAAAAGGGTCTTCAAAGGAGAAGGTGGAAGAGGCAAAGGCATTTAGGAGGCAATTCGAGAACATGAAGCCTAGACAGCTGATTGAACAATGGAGTATAATTAGTGCGGAATGAATTGAAGCAACACACGAGTTCTTGGCAGTTTGTAAATCTGGAGTATGTTGCAGAGTTAGACAAGGATGAAACTGTAGAGGAATCTGAAAACAAAAGGATAAAAAAATTTAAATTGAAGATGTTTGTAGATAAGAAGCTGATGTAGCTCAGTGAGCTCAGAGATGCAAGAGTGGACCTTGATGCAGACTGAGATTCATAATACTGAGGATGTGAAGTTGGAAGCTCAGCTTGAGTCAGATAGGACATTGAGGTTATGAATTGTCCAGTTTCACTTGAAACAGTGGTCAGTGAGTAGGATGGAATTGATACCAACAGTCCAGGGTTTGTGATGAGGCCAAAGACAATGAATTCAATCTTCTCAATGCTTAGCTATGGAAAATTGTGGCATAACCGAAGATTTTCTTTTTAACTTGTTTGGCTTTCTAAGGTGTCATGAACCACATCCTTCTCATGGTAAGCTATCTGGTGCCAAGTTCAGGTTTTAGTATGGGGGTTTTAATTGATGGATAATAAATTGGCTTCTATTATCATTTGTTGATGCCAGAAACTAATACAATGAAGTACTGAGAACAAAATAGTGGTGATGTAAAAGCATTGATTCTCAAATTGGAGACAGCTGACCCTTGGGATCTGTAGTGTCTTTCCAGAGGTCTATAAAGACATTGCTGGGCCACTATCAATCTCCTCTTCGTCTCCCTTCCCTTTCTTCATCTCCTGTCCCCTTCTTCCTGAGATCTCCCTCCTTCCTTCCCAAGAACAGAGTATAAAACCAAGGATGTGATGATACACCTCTAGAAATTATTGGTCAGACAACATTTGGAGTATTGTATTCAGTTCTGGGTACCATATTCAAGGAAGGATGTTACAGCTCTGGAGAGAGTGCAAAGGAGATTCACTAGAATGATACCAGGAATGAGGGATTTAAATACAAAGAAAGATTAGAGAAATTGGGCTTATTCTCCTCGGAGCAGAGAAGATTTAGAGATGACTTTATTGAGGTGTTCAAAATTATGAACAATTTCGATAGGGTAAAGAAGAATATCTGTTCTCACTAGTTGTTATATAAGTAAATAGGCGTCACAATTTCAAGACTGTCAGGAATAGAGCTAGGACTGAGATGATGAGAAATTTCTTTACTCAGCGAGTTGTTAGGATTTGAAATGCACTGCCTGGGAGAGGGTGGACATGGATTTCATTGGAGGTTTCAAAGAGAGCTGGATATAAATTTGAAATTTAGAGAGCTACAGAGATAGAGTTGGAGAATGGGACTAGCTGGGTAGCTCTTTCAGGAGCCGGTACATACACGATGGGTTAAATGGTGTCCTTATACACTGTAAAATTCTATGATTCTATAAGAATCCACTTCCCCAGCTGGTACAGTAATCCCCTCACTTTTTAACATGAGTGACCCGAATGCTGGATTTGACTTCCATATGCAATGCTACAGAAAAGCAACCAGTATATAATAACAGCACAAGGGTCCTATGGCACAGTCACAGTATCCCCCACTACCTCTGAGTTCAAATCCCATCTGTCCCAGAGGTATGTTATATCATGTCCAAACAGGTTGATTAAAATAACAATAATAACAGCACAGACACAATGACTGAAAGGGCTACTCTGGGCAGTAAATTACTCTGCTTTTATCATTCCATATATAATAATCTAATGCATCATTCTTGAAATATTAGGCTGGAAATTTAAACAATGAACTACTTAATTCCGAAGCTTGAGAAGCAGTATTTAACAGAAGAAAAATCATTTTTTAAATCTTTTTCTCTTCAAATCAGATCTGCTAAAAAGACATATAAGCAATTGCATTTACCCAAGGACCCCAGACATGGTTTGTTGTCTTCTGTTGTGTTTTGTGCATTGCAAGCATATATTCCCACGTCTGTGCTTCCCGCTGACAACCAGCCTAAGAAAATTCAGACAAGATTTAAATCTATGAATGTCACGACATCTTAGATAGCGCTTTATTTAGTTTCATACCAAGTAATATAGCCAAAAAGCACTACATGGAGTGCCTTAGAAAATGATTGATGTTTGAGTGATGCATTTTGTTATGGCCCCATCTAATGGTACTAATGGACAGGTTAGATCCCAGCATAAAACCTGGCTTGACACATCATTTTTTAATTTATTTTGTTTAGTTAGTTAACTGGTAGTTTAGACACTGTAACATATTCACATGAGGCGTCTGTTGTTAAAAATACCTCCAAATAACTTTATTACATAAAAGAATAAAAACAAACAAATCAAGTTATCTAAATTAAAACTGAAAGAACTGTGGATGCTGTAAAGCAGAAACAAAAATATAGATTGCTGGAAAAGCTCAGCAGGTCTGGCAGCATCTGTGAAGAGAAATCACAGTTAACGTTTTGGGTCTGGGGACATCACCGGACGTGAACTGTTAACTGACTGACTGATTGATTGATTTTATTGTCACGTGTACCGAAATACAGTGAAAAGCTTTGTTTATGAGCAGTGCAGGCAGATCACAGGAAGCAAAGAATATACAGATCAAAAAGACTTGAGGCATACAGGTTACATTATTTGAGGCTAGAGTCCATTCAACAGTCTGATAATGGGGAAAGAAGCTGTTCCTGAACCTGCTTGTGTGTTCAGGCTTTTGTATCTTCTGCCTGACAGAAGAGGTTGTTGGAGGTCATTACCAGGATGCAATGGGTCTTCGATGATGTTGGCCGCCTTTTTAACTTTCTCTTTTAACTTTCTCTTCACAGATGCTGCTAGATCTGCTGAGTTTTTCCAACAAACCAAAGATCTTAACGAAAACAACTAAACAGAATTCCAATTTGTTTCCCACCACTATTCAATTATGGAGACACAAGTCCAGATAAACTATATTATCACAACTCTTAAGTTTCTGATGGATGTAAAATGTGTGATTTATATATATTTTAATATCATTTATTTTGGAAATTTTTTAATTTTGAACTAGTGGCATAAGGGTTTCTGCATGTCTGAAAGGGTTTAATAAAGAACTTTTAAGTATTTCTGTAGCCATGGTGGTTTCTTTAAAAAAAAAGTCTGAGACTAATAGAAATTTGTTTACAAAGAGAGAGTTTACCCGTGAATAAAATCAACAGTGTAGTTCATTAGGCTTTTATAAAGAAGATACTGGAATCTTTTGGGGGGCTTGAGGAAACACTCATAACTTGGGGGAAAAAATCTTTTCTATTTTAGTGGGCATTTACAGAAGTCTTGGCTGAAACTGGAAGTGTAAAACAGTTGCTCCTAAGAAAGGGAGGCAGTTTAGATCTGTTAATAAAGATGTTATCTCAGTATAAGAAATTTAATGTTAAAGTCCCAGACAACAAGCAATTAAATCCCTGAAAGGGTTACTTGAAGCTGAGAAAATTTAAGGTCAGTTGTATGAATCCACCAGGAAGAGGCTACCAGATACTCGAGACAGCGATTAACACCAGAGTTATATTAAGTCCTTTCGATTTGAAGAAGAAGGGAATTCTTTCTGGTGTGAGTACTGCAAAGGAGTACTTTGGGACTAATAAGATTGTATTTTGCTATGTGTTTTGACATCTTTAAATTTGAGTTATATGTACATAGTTTGGTTTATTCTATTTTATCTTTATTTCTTTAGTACAATAAACACCTGTTTCATTGTTAAACCCAAATCTACAGCATTGTGTGTTCATGGTTCAGTGAAAGACCAGCTAATTAAAACAAAAAATAAAATATGCTCTATCAAGTCAAATTTCTTTCTGGGATCTGACTAGTCTAATAATAACATCAGCTGAGATCATAACACCACTGAATTGATTATTTCCAGTTTCTTTCTTTGGAACTGTAGAGAGAAATTTATGATTCCTCTTAGATTGTGATGGCACAAAACTTTTACAATTCTCTGATAGCCTAAATGTTTTCCATTCTAGCAATCTAATGAATTCTATCCCAAAATCTCCTAGTTTGGAAATTGTACAAAGTAGAGAAAACACCACTATTGCAGTAACTGGTTTCCTCTGGGCTGAACTAAACTGAATCTTGTTAAGAGAGAAACTGAAACTTTCGTCTCAACTCTCAGGTCTTCTGAACTAAGACTCTGGTGTTTTGTGCTGATACTGCCTTTCATAAAGCAAAATTATAAACATCTTATCCCATTTGCATTCCAGGAATTCACCTGGCCACTTATTGTAGTAACATTTTTTCTAGGAACTGGTGCTTTCAGTTCACTATTTCAGAATGACATTGACCTCATAGAAAAATAAAAAACATATTTCACAGCACTAATCCATATCTATATGTTCCTTTTTTCCTAAAACAAGGCAAATTTCAAAAATATATATATATTTTACACATCTTTTGCCATACCTCCCCCACAGAAAAGGTATTCTGAAGGGGCATTTTCTATCAAAAAGCTCTTCTTTAAGCATGATTTTTACGTTAAATACAGAAAAACTGTTAATAACATTAAATACAATGAATTTCATATCAGTGATATTTAACACAAGTCCATTCTGAATATGGCATTTGGTTCCAATTGTATGTGCTCGTGGCAAATTGTCAGCTACATGTTGCTCTTTCCAACAATGTGAATCATTTTAAAATTGAATAGCTACTATGTTAAGATCCATGATGTGGAGGTGCCAGTGTTGGACTGGGGTGGACAAGGTCAGAAACTACACAACACCAGGTTATAATTCAATAGGTTTACTTGATAACACAAGCTTTCAGAGCGTAGCCCCTTCGTCAGGTGAAGTAAGAAAGAAGCACACAGAACATAGAATTTGAATGTAAAAGATCAAAGGGTCACACAACTGATGAGGATGTATCAACAAACCTGATGCTGTTGAACTTTTAATCAGTTAGAAGGTTTTAATTGATTAATATGTATATGTAAATCCCCAATTTCTTTCAAGTCACTGCCCTGAGAAAACTAAAGGTTTTATCAGTCTAACAAAGAGTTGACATTTTAGATCAGACAATGCATGTTAGGTGTGCGGTCTTGTTTAGAATCTGTTTGCATTTTGGTTTGGAATCAGACTGGTTTTATTTCTAAAGTAGAAATACTTGACTGTCTATAAATTGTGTGCTTTTTGAACAAACTTGAATGTATCTGCAAATACAAATTCACCCCCGTAGATTTATATGTGTGTGTGAGTGTGTATGTCTATGTAAGTGAGAGAGAGAGAGAATGTGTGTGTGTGTGTGTGTGTGTGTGTGTGTGTGTGTGTGGGAGAAAGTATGTATGTGTGTGAGGGA